GATCGGTATCTCACTCCCCATGGCAGTGGTGGGGTTTATGCAGCCTGGGTCTGGGGAGCTCTGCAACACATTCAGGACTTTTGCAAAGGGCTGCAGGACTCCTCCTTGCTCCTGAGTTACTTTTGAGGTGCAGCTGCAGTCTGGGTGAAGGGAGTCTCCCCTGTGCTGCTTGTCGTGGCTTTGAAGACTGATGTCAGTCTTCTGAGGCCCAGGGGAGACCTTGTCACCCTCTACAGCGGCCTGAAAGGAGATCGTTGGGAGATGGGGGTCAAATCTTTTCTCCCAGGCAATAAGACCAGAGAAAATGGCCTCAAGTTGCACCATGGGAGGTTAAGGGTGGTGGATATCAGGAAAATTTCTTCACTGAAAGGGTTGTGAAGCATTGGAAGAGGCTGCCCCGGGTGGTGGTGGAGTCCCCATCCCTGGAGGGATTGAAAGGCTGTGTACATGTGGCGCTTGGGGACACGGGGTTAGTGCTGGCCTGGTCAGTGCTGGGTTTTTCCAACCTTCACGACTCTGGTAATGCTTCTGAGCCTTAACAAACTGCTGGAGCTCAGGACAACCAGGCAGCCTCCTGCCCCACAACACTCAGCCCCACCATGCAGACCATGGGGATCTGGTGGCAGGACTGCCCTGGCTGTGTTGTCTGCACAGTTCTGAGCACAGCAGGTACCTACTGCAAAATCCTGAGTACTACAACTACTGCTACTCACTGCTCCCCCTCCCACTGATTAATAACAACTCTATTTTCCCTGCAGCCCTTTAAAGATGAAGGTAATTTGGAAAAAGGCTATTTATACAGCAATCCCAGCATTTGCACAGCAAGTCAGACTGCAATAGGTATGGCAGGCAATTTCCCCACGTAAATAAGTCCTCCTTGGAGAGGAACCTCCTGACAGAACCTCCTCTCGTAGGTGCACAGTCCTGGGGGTCGGTGGGATGGGAGGGGGGGCAGGGAAATGGGAGGTCAGAGCAGTCTGAGCACTTCTGGGCTGCTGTCACATGAAGAAAAATGGACATGCTGTACGAAGCTGCTGGCAAAACTGGGTCTGAAACAAATAACAGAGTGGCTTTGGGGATTTGGGATTGGGTATCCAGGGTTCTCTGCAGTTCACATAGGACCATTAGCGACCTGTGTATATGATTGCAACGGCACAGGGACACATACAGAACAATATTATCCTACAGAAATAGCTGTCTGGAAATAGGCCTTCAGGAAACGTATTCTGAGTCCATTGCTCCAGAGACTAAAGCATTTATTCTGTTCTTTCCTTTCAACTGAAACCTTCTATTAAACCTGCTGAAAAAAATGACCCTGGGACTTTTGCACCCAGCACCCCTTTGTTCAGAGCCCAGAGCTGACACTGATCTCTGAAACTCACGCTCATGAGGCTCGAAGTGAAGAAGCCAGTTGTGCTTTTCTTTCTTACAGGGTTTTATCTTTTTTATTTATTATTTATTTATTTATATTATCAATTAATTATTATTATTTATTTTTATCTATTTTTAATTTTTCCTTTTAATTTTATTTTCCTTTTTTGTTTTTCATTTTCCCCTTATTCGTTTTTCCATTTTCTGTCTTGCCCTTCTTTTTCCTTTTTTTTTTATTTTTGCTTTTCCTTTTTATTCATCTTTCTCTTTTTAATATTTCAATCTTCCCTTTATTCTTTTCTCTTTCCCCTTATAATTTCCTCTTTTTCCCCCCTCCTTTTTTCCTTTTCTCTTTTCCTCATCTCTTTTTCCTTTCTCCTATTTTCATTTTTTAATTTTTTTCTTTTTCTCCTCTCCTCTCCCTCTCCTCTCCCTCTCCTCTTCTCTCCTTTCTTTTTTCTCCCTTCTTTTTCCTTTCTTCCCTTTCCCTTCTTTCTCTTTACTTCTCTTCTTGTCTCTCTAGCGAGCAATCACGAAGCCTCTAAACCCGAAACCGACCTGAAAGCAAAACCCAGAGCTCAGCACCTTTCCTTTCCACCGATTGAAGGCAGCCCGGGGAAGCAGAGGCTGCGGGCTGACCGCAGGACGCGGTGCTGGGGCTGCGGGCAGTGATTTCTGACCCTGGCAGAGAAGCCCCTGTAATGTCACCCCGAGGTGACAAAGTGTCCGTGTCCCTGTCCCGGGCAGCCCCGGCGCGGAGCCCCCTCCGCAGCGCTGCGCTCGCACGTTCCCGGGAAAGCACCACCTCACAGTTTTGGCTGCTGATCGCTAGATTATTAACCTCTAATAATTAATTAAATAATCATTACTTAGAATAATGACGCCTCGGGGTCCCCCGGCCCCGCTCCGGGGATGTGCGGGGATGGAGCGGGGAAGGGATGTGGGGATGGAGCCGGGGGAGGTATGGGGAACCCCGCGGGGGGATCCGGGGATGGAGCCGGGGAGGGGATGCGGAGGGAGCCCCGGGAGGGGATCCGGGGATGGAGCCGGGGGGTGTACGAGGAGCCCCGCGGGGGGATCCGGGGATGGAGACGGGAAGGGGATGCGGAGGGAGCCCCGGGGGCGGGGGGGATCCGCGGGCGCGGGGCCTTTTGTTATGCTAATCCGGGCTGACATCACACCGCATATCAAAGCCGAGGGGGCCGCATATAAGGCGGCTCCGGGGGCCGCCCCGGCAGAGCGGCCCCGGCCCCCGCGCAGCCCGGCCCGGGCGGAGGTGAGCGCGGAGCGGGGAGGGAGCGACGGTGCCGGGAGCGGGAGGACGGGAAAGGCGCCCCGCGGAGCCCCCCGGAACGCCCGAGGGGCGGGGGTGGCCGGGAACAGAGGGGAGCGGGAGGATTGCAAGGGGAGGGGATGCATCCCGGGGGATGCGTGAGAGCAGGGAGAGCCCGCGGGCTGCAAGGGAGAGAGGAGGATTGGAGGATGCAAGGGAGAACTAGGGGAGACCTGGGGGATTGCAGAGAGAGGGGGACCCGGGAGGAAGGAGACTCGGAGGCTGCATAGAGACCTGAGAGCCGGGGAGGGGAGTGAGCGTGCGGGAGAGAGGGGGAACCCGCGGGAGAAGGAGACACAGAAGGGTGTAGAGAGCCCCGAGACCGATAAGCTGCAGGGGAAAGGAGAGAACCAAGAGTTGCGAGGAGGAGCGGGAACCCCCGGGCTGACGGGAGAGGGGAGACTCGGGGCTGTGAGTGTGCGGGGCGGCGGCAGGAGCGGCAGGGGAGAGCGGGAGGCTGCAGGGGAGCGGGGACACCCAGGGGCTGCAGAGGAGAAGGGACATGCAGAGGGGACTGCAGGAGAGGGGGGACACACGGAGCTGGAATCAACTCCACCACCCGCTGTTTCTTCCCTGTTCCCAGTCCTCACTGCAGGTCGTCTGGGGATGTGCTGCCCCTAACCCAGGCTCCTGTGCTCCTGGGGAGCTGCAGCCTGGCAGCGGGGGCAGGTGGATGTCTTTCCTTCTGGGTGGGAGAGCTGGAAAAATGTGAGCGGGATATTCACAGGTTTATACCGAGTTCAAAACGGCCTGTTCCCATCCCCGAGTTCGCACTCCTGGAGGTGCGGGATGGGAGCGTTTTCTGCGTGCAGGAGTGGGACTGGCTGCAAACAGCCTTGGGATGAAGAGGAAAGAGCTTTTGAATTAAAAACGGCTCCGCTTTTCAGGAGCCCGCGGGCCACTTGCTGCTGGTTTGATCAGTGACCCAGAGCTCTCCGGAGCTGTAAACATCACGTCTGCCCCAAAGAGTCTCCCTCCACTCCCCTCCCCTTGCAAATTCCTCTTGCAAATGTAACCTGTGATGGACTGAGTGGAAAAAAAGCAGGGGTGCAATTTCAGGCCAAGCTTGCAGCTCTTGCTGCTGTTGCTGGGTGAGGATTGGGAGGTGGGGGGCGTGTTAGATAATTTCTGTTCCTCTCCAGGAGTTGGAAAAAAAACCGTGACTTTTTCAAGGCGGGGGGGGAAGCAGAGAATGGTGTTGGCTGGTCAGGTTTAGTGAGAGTAAAATCTGAGACATTTTACACCCAATGGTGCAGCAGTTCTTGGGAGGGAGATAAGGGGTCTGAAATACCTAAATGGGCACTGAAGGGCATGGGCAGTATTAAGGGATGAAGGTTTCCAGTGTGCTCGTGGAAGGGTGGGAAGAAAAGAGCTCCCAAAGATCAAAAGATAAATACTCTCAAAGAAGAAGTGTGTGTGCCGGGATGCTCATGGGAGCATTGCCTTCAAGGGACACAGCAAACCCAAATCCAGGCGGGCACTAAAGAAAAACAACCCGTGGCAATGAAATCCTGCCTCCCTCGTAGGCAGCACCGTTGTCTCGGACTTCAAGGGAGCCGGGAACTCGCCCCTAGAGGTTATTAAAATCCTTTGTAATAACAGCACTTCTCTAGTAACCCTTTACACCAGGCACCAGGGCTGGGAGAGCCAAAATGCAGCCTGAACGGGAAAATATGCTGCAGATGGCAGAAAAAGCACCCAGAAATACTCCTTGCCCCCGACCCAGTTGCTCCCCAAACGCGGATACCTGAAGCTGCAGTTGGGCGAATCCAAAGCTTGGGGTCAGGTAGGATGTGCTTTTCCCAGGGCAAGGGGAAACTCCAAAGTGGTGCTGACTACTCCTGCCACCTCAGTGCCTCCTCAAACCCCTCTGAGGGGGTGACGGGGGGCATGAACAATCCCAGCTTGGCTGTGCCAGTGTGCCAGAAGATGGGCTGGAACTCCAGAGCGGCAGTGTGGTGGGCAGGTTTTGCTGTTTATTTTATTCTTGGCTTTCTCATGGGGTGGGAATCCACCGCAAAGCCCACAAAAAGCCCGGAGCCGTGTCTGAAGTGAATAGCCGAAGGGAAACCCATTTACTGCTATTAATACCGCTGCTAAAATAAGCAAGCCGTGCCCTGGAGACAGTCAGGACCCCTCTGAGAATTTAAGCACTGCACCTGGTTTGTTTATTTGTTTGGTCTGAAGAAGGGCAAAACAAGAGAAAGAAAAGGAGGGGAGAACTTTCTTGTCTCCTCCCGGCTGCTCCCCGGAGACAGAAATGGGATTTTATGTTTACGAAGTTGCAGCCTTTTCCGTGAGCTCCAGGTGCCCGAGGACTTGGAAGAAGTGAGAGGCAGAGTTAATGAGGTGAGAAGGAAAGCAGAAGGGAAAGAGCAAAACGCATTTGTTGTAACAGATCAGAGCGAAACATCTGCAAGGGCACGGGCACCTGCACTGAGTCGGGAAATGCAGTTTTTATAATTTGTCTCCTCTGCAAAAAAAAAAATAGCAGAGGAAAAATCTGGAGAGAGGGAAGGGAGAGATGAATAGCTGAAGATTTGAGCTAGTCTAAAGATTTATCTTTTTTTTTCTTTTCTTTTTTTTCCCCTGAGCAGTTGCACAAACCTTTTGGAGAGAGGGATTGAAAAACCCCCCTAAAGTGAAGCAGCAAATGAAGCCTTGCCATGTGCAGGGTTAAATGGAAACACACAATCAGACCATAACTCAGGGGGTAATTCAAGCCATACGGGGGTTGTCTGTTGAGTCGAAGGTTGTATCAAGGCTTGGCAAAGGAGGGGACTGAGAGGGGATAATCCAAACCTTTTCGTGATTCATAAACCACTCCTTCACAATTGGGGTAATGGATTTCTCTCTGGCCACAACTCACTGAACTTCAGAGTTAACGTAGCTCGGGCTCTCTCTCCCTCTCTTTTCAGGTTGTTCATCTCCGGGAACAAGCAATACCCAAACTGAAGGGAAATAACGCTGTGTGAAAAATCAGGAAAACTTTTTTTTCTTTTTATTTTAATTTTTCCTTGGAGAAGCTGATTTCCTTTGGCAAGAGGGGGAAGGTGGAGAAAATGAGGCCAAGTCTGCGATTTTTCTTCGCCGGTTTTCTGTCGCTGATCCTGCAGACGGGGCTTTGCTATGGGATAAAATGGATGTAAGTACCTGGCTGTCTCTCTGCATTTTTCACGTTTTTCTGGGCATTGCTGGTCCCTTACAGTTTGTACAACTGCTGTAAAGCTGTTTAAAGAGCAGTGAGCGCTGCAGTTCTCCAGGCATTCATTGATTTCAAGTGTGTGTACTAGAGGCTTGTGCTAACAATGTCTCTCCGTCTTCTTTCCAAAATACGCATGATTTAGGCTCGGGTTTGTGGTTTTTGTTTTTTTTTTCTCCTCATTGATACCGAAGGAAAGGCACACACTTGAACAGCTCACATGAGCCACTTAATGAAGTTTCTGGCGTTTGCTCCTGCCTCGCTGGGGAACTCTCCCACCAGGACCACTGGTCGTGCCGAGTATGAGCTGAGAGCAGTGGGAGAGACAGCTGAGATAATGCCACTGATCTCCAACCACAGGGGATGCTTGACAGATAACATGTTTTTTTGGGGGCGACCTTTTAACCTTTAGATTTTGTGAAGGGTGTTAAAAATTAGGTGAGGAGTGTGGGGGGGAAGAGGGTGAAGAAATACGAGGGAGTGTGGTCAAGTCCGGATTAAATTTCCGTAGAGGTAATGCCACTGCAAACAAAGTAAAAACATCCCTGTCTCATTTCTTGGCTTCAGCAAGCGATCATTTAGTTGCTTATTGCAAAATAAACAAACAAGCCCTTCCAGCACCGATCTGGTTTGATGTCCTTGGTGAGTGATCTGTCTTTTCTACTTGGGTTTGGAGCTGGGCACAAAATAAATAGGAGGATGTGGCTTTGCCTCAGATGAGCATCTTCTGTAAAAACCAAGCCCAATAAGATACAATGCCAGGAAGACTGTGTTGTGCATTGAGGCAAAGATCTTTGGGTTAGGTGGGGAAACTGGGACAAGAGGTTCCTGTTTTGTTACTCTTTCTGCCACAGACCCTGTGCTATGTCTAATTCCCATTATACTGTTGCAATCCCTGTCATTTGAGGATCTCTCCATCCCACCTTTTATGAAGGCTCTCTTAAATTTGGATGTCTGCAAATTCAGGCATCTTCTTGGAGCCAGTGTTTTCACTGCCCAGCACGCAGTCAGGGGAGAGGGGACGTTCCAGATGGCCATTCATCCTCTCCAAACGCAGACATCCAACAGGAATAGCAGGTGATGTCCTCCGGAGATGCAGTGGGCTGCAGGGAACTGCTTGAGAGGCTCCATGCTCTAAGGACCACCTTGGAAGCAGAGGAGAGTCAGGATGCGATTTGTTCCTCACTGACACCTTGCAGCAGCCAGCCCAGCTCAGTTACACTGCCCAGCTGTTCTATCTGCCACCTCCCTCCCGTGTTTAGGCTCAGTATTAGAGCTCTCAGCTCTGCGTATATCGAGCACCTTGCACAGGGCAGGCATCTCCTTTCTGCAGGACGTTTAGCAGCACGCCCGTGGGGCTCGTTTGCAGCCTTTGTTTCCCTGCGGCACAGAAGGAAAGCTGTTTTGTGGTGCCCTGGCTCTGCTGGGCACTTAGTGCAGCCCCAGGGCTGGGTGGGGGTTGGTTCGCCTCTGTGCTAGGATTGTAGTCCCACTTCAGCAAGGTGCTAAACCGGGAGGGAAAGGCTTGGCTTCCTCCAAAGGGCAGGGGTGAGATGAGCTGCAGAGGGAGCCTGATAGTCTGGTGACAAGGCACAGACATGAAAAATGCTGGAAGGCAGGGCAAGGTCCCCCATAGCTTTGCTGGCAGAAGCCTTTGGGCCGGGAAGTGGTTAAGCTTGCAAGGGGGCTGATTTTGGGGACGGGGTGTGGGAGAAGCATTTGGAGGCAAAACACCGCAGTTGCTGCTCCTCCCCTTCCCAGCAGACATGTCCCCCCTGTGGAAAAGCGGGTGGGGAGGATGAAAGCTGGGATTAAAGCGGCATTTGAAGCATGAGCTGTGTCCGGATGTGCCGCCGGGGCTCCCCTCACGCCTGCCTGGGACCTGGCAGAGACCTGCCCTCCCTGTCCCACAGCGCGGGGGTACTGCCGGCCGGGTTTCACACCATTATGCTTGGGTTTGGATTTGGTGTTGGTTTTTTTTTTTTTTTTTTTTTTTTTTTTTGTGTTTGTTTTTTTTTTTTTTTTGCTGTTTCTCCTTCTATGGAAACAGGGGCCGATTTCTCCCGCTCCCCATCACTCCTCTCCCTCAGGGCTCGGGGTCTCTCCGTGGAAATCCCACTTCGGTGAACAGAGAACCAAACACTGAGCAGCCCCTCAGAGCTGCAGTCCCAGCCCCGGACTCACCCTCCGGGTGCTGTGCAGTCAAAACCTGCTCCCTCCCTCTCTCTCGCTGGTGGATGGGGAGGGAGGGAAGTGCTCCGGGATGTTTTCGGTTCTGGGCTGGTCTCCCTGCTCTGCCCGCTGTGCCGTTGTTGTAGGCACGGTGCCAGAGCTCGGCTTCAAAGGGGATTTGGGGAGGGGAGGGGGAGATAAGGACGTGGGTTTCGCCAGCCTGGGGAGGAGGGAGCGACTGATACGGCTGGCGATAGGAAATTCAATTTTGTTTCGGTGCGTGATGTAATTGCAGGGGGGAGGGGGAGAAGGAAAACACGCTTTTTGTCCATTTAGGACTTCCCTGCAACAGAAGTATCCCCGTAAATGACTAAAAGGAGGGAGAAGGTAAAAAAAAAAAAAAAGCTATTCATTTTATTTGGCTTATTTTTATGAGTTGTGTGGCCCAGGTCTCTAGCTGTTGGCAATTGGCACTGGGCACCCCCAAGCCTCCAGCGAGGTGTGTGGACAGTCAGCATCTTGTAAACATGTCCTTGCTCTTCCACCCGAGCTCCAGAGAGCTGCTCAGGTGAACAGTCAGGGTGTGGGCAGATCCTCGCTGCATCAGGGGTGCTGTGGGGAGGCAACCTTTCCCTTCAGTGCAGTATGAGACCCTGAGTCTTATTTTGGCAAACACTTTTCCATCCCTAAAGCAGAGGGTGGAGGGGGTTGCATTGTTTCGTGGTCCTCAGGGCTTGTCTTGTGTCCTGGTGGTTGGGGGGGTGAGGCAGCCATTGGTGTCAGTGGGATACGTCTTAGGGCCAGTGCATCTAGGAACTCTGTCGCCTTCCCGTCTCCTTTTGCAACCCCTTTGCTTTCCCAGGAGGGCTGGGGTTTGGCCAGGCGGGTGGTGGAGCAACTTTTTTTGGGTGGAACTGAAAACTTGATGAGCACTAGAGGGAGCTGCGGGCAGTTGTGCCGCGGAGGCTGCAGATGTTGGCAGGTCCAGCCACCGAGTAACTTTGGAGGCACTTCTGCCTCCACAGGGGTTGGCATCTCCTTTGTCCCTCTGTGCTGAGTGTCACCTTCGGGGCAAGAGTGGTTGTAAAGAAGCCAAATGCAGCAAGCGGGGTGTGGTTTTTTTGTTTGTTTGTTTTTGCATGGCTTGCAGAATAAGCCCATGAGGGCAAAAGCTGGCCTTAGGAATCCCATCAGTTTTAGGTGGAGCTTGGTCCCTTTGGGAAGTCCTTGTTGTGGTGGCCCACTCATGCCCCGTGCACTCTGGAGCTGTCCCCAGCTCCAGCACAATTCCCAGGGCTAAATCACAGCCCTTCAGAACCAAAAGGTGGCTGAGCCACGCCTCTTTTGGTGTATACAGGATGTCCCCCCAGCCCACCAACCTCGAGCGGCCCTTCTGCAGCCAGCAGAAAGAAGCAGGGGGGGAAAATGGAAAGATTTCGTGCTTCCCGGCAGCTCCTGCCTCTCTCCCTCAGGCAGGGGTGGGAGGGAGCTGGACACGGGGACAGGGCGCCGGCGAGGAGCCCGTCTGCCTGGCACAGGGGCTGCCAGATGAGCTGCTGGGAGAGGGCTGAGGGTGGGGGGGGACAGCAGGGAGGGGGCTGGGGGTGAGCAGAGGGGGAGAGCACGGCTTTGAAGTTCACTCCTCGCTCCGTAGGCAGCTCAGGAAAACTTGACGGAGCTCCGTGGCCTTCTTGGAGCTCAGGGAGCCAACTCTGCTGGCATCGACTTCAGTCGGGCTTGGGCTGGGAGTCAGCTGTGCCCGCTGCTGCCAGAGCTGCGTTTGGCACCGTATCTGCAAGCAAGCTCTTATTTTAAGCTTTGGCTTCAGGGCTGGTTCCCCTCCCACCCTCCCTTCTCTCACTCTTCCTCCTCTTTTCTTGTACCACATAAATCCTGCTTCCCTGTCTGAAAAGGCTTTGCAGGAGCAGTGGAAGTGTTTACCAGGGGATGTGGTGTCTTTCCCAGCACTTGCGGTCCCCACACCGGGACTGGTGCAGGGCAGGGTGGCAGGGGCATGGGCTGCCTCTGACTCCCAGGAGCTTAGACAAGGTTATTGTAACCCTCCTGCAAGCCTTCTCCAGATGAAAGCCTGAAAAAACGAGGCTCCTGCAGATTAAAAACCTTCAATGAGATCGAATACAAAAAACCCCCTCAATCGCTGCCTCTCTTTATTAAAAGTTTACCCCACACTTCACTCTCCACAACCATGTAATTTTGTCTAAATCTTTCTGTTTCACCCAAATCCCTGCAAGATTAAGGGGTTTAGGAATAGGCATAAAAAACAGTGCCTTTGCAGAGAGCAAAGCTGGCAATCTGAAGCAGAAGTTCAGGGTTTCACCGACAGTCCCTCTGTGAGACTTCTGGATCACATCACACGAGGGACAATGGGGAGATGTCCCCAGAGAGAGAAATGCTTACACCCTTTAAGGGTGTTTTAAAGGACACCAGTGCTTTGCTTCTCAGTTCAGGGAGCTTTTTCTCCCTTTGGCTTGATCAGGAGCAATGTCTGACTTACAGTGGACCCTGTAAACCAAATAGTGTGTGGCTTTCACTGATAACCTGCTGAGATCTGAAGGTGCTTCTCCGTATGAATATGTGCAACTCCTATGAATAGTCTTCTCATGGAGCCCAGACCTGCAGGAATGGGCCCATACCTCTCAAAGGACCCAACACTGCAGAGCATTCATGTTTTCAAATGAATTTATTAACTGCCTGAGATAATTAAAAGAGTAAACGAATGTCATGATTCATCCCTGCATCATATTTCCTCTGTAATTATGTTTATGGCTTTCTGTCAGTATCCATAACTTCAATTGAAAGCCTTGCTATGCTATATATAAAGCAGGAGGTGTTTGGTTTGGGGCCTGTTTATTTAAAGGGATGGGTCAAACGTGGATATCTAAAAAAAACCCTGGAACAACCAGCCCTCAGTTGTCCTCATCTTTCCGGAGAGTGAAGGATGAGGCAGGAGAGTCAGGGGAGAGGAGCACGGTGTTAACCAGGAGGAAGCAGTGAAACCCAGCATTTCTAGGGTGGCAGCAGGTAAAACCCTCTTTCAGATGAAGGGGTGTGAGCCCACAGAAAGATGTTTGTCAGGGATGTTTTCCCAGATTGAGGACCGTTCTGCTAACTCTACCCTCCAGGGCTGCTTTGTTCAGGCTGGCTGTACCCCTTTGGTTCCAGTTTCCTTCCCAGTGCTGGTGATCCCTGGAGACTGGGTGAAGATAGGACAGAAACCCACCACCAAATCCCACTGTGGACCAGACTATCTCAGGGGAAGGTGGTTTTCTTTCCACTGCCCCACAAGTGTCCTTTTCAAGGGGTGGCTATCCCCCCTCTGATGTTGCTGGAATTTAGGGAGCAGGGAAGGGTGGTGCCTTTCCTAAGGGACATGGAATGAGAAGACATTTCTAATGTAGGACAGAGACTGGGCAAACCTATGCCCCTGTCAGGGCATAGACCAGATGACCTATTGGACCTCTCACATTCTTGATCTGTGATTTATAAAGGCACTTTTGGGTCTTGGTGAGGGATTGCAGTAACTGAGTTTTCTTTTCCATCTCCATTACCCTTTTTCCTCCCAGCACTTGGAGATGTTTCCAATTACAGGTTCTCACAAGCAGAGGCATGAAGTTCAGGCCTGGGAGATGTTCAGAAAACACCTTCCTGCATCTTGAAGTTTTATTCTTGGTGGGCTCCCTGGAGCTCGGCTCATTCAATGGGAAACAGCCACTGCTGCCCTTTACTGAGTTCTCACCAGAGGACAGGTGGTTTCCCCTCTTCCATGAGGCCAGTGTTCTTCTCACTGCATTGAAAACCTGCTTCTCTAAAGGTGTTCACTTGAGGCCATCTGTGACAACACAGTCACGTTGTATCACATCCCCCTTTTCCACACTGGGGATGAGTTCCAGCCTGAATTCAGCTTTCATCCCAACCTGTCAGGGGTTATTAATGCTGTTCGTGACTTGTCTGTGATGGTGAGATACAGGTGCCTCAGTGTGTCCTTCCAGGTCCTCTAGAGGTGCTGAAGGTCTCTATACAGGACCATAAAATAGGGTGCAGGATGTAGGAGATGCACGGATCCTTCTGGAGGGCCAGGTGGAACATCCCAAGGTGTCTCAAGTGATAACATGGCACTTCTGCTTAGAAAACTGAGCTGGTGCCCATAGTACAGCCTCTCTCAGAGCCTTGGAATGCTCCTCCTTTGCCTGAAGCTCGGGCTGTGGAGCTCTCTCCCTTCTGCCACACCCTGCCTGCTTCCCTGGCTGCTGGGACGTGCTGTGCTGGAGTATTTATCATTTTTACTCTCTTAGTGCCGAGCTGCCTTGGCCTCCTGCCTGATCTGTGTTGCAGCCCATTCCTGGGAGTTGCTGATAGGCTTTCTGGGATAAGTTTTCACAGGTCCCTGGTGCCAAGTGCTGGGGGTTGGACGCATCTCACCCAGCTCTGTGCTTACACAGTCCAGATGTGTGTGTCCCAGCTCAGTGCCTGCGTTTCCTACACAGCGCACAAAAGGAGTGTTTCTAAGGCGTGATGTTATCTTACTGTAGGTCTCAAAAGCACATCAGGCAAACTGCTTTCTAGAGATGTGGCTTTCTTCTGTCCTGGTTCACATCTGAGGCAGGATGAGCTGCCTTCTGGAGGTGCCCCTCTCCCAGCAGGGAACAGTTCATGGACACCAGTGTGTGAGGCACTGAGCTGAACTGCAGGGCAGGATTCCTGACCATTAAATTATAAATTGTTTGGGTTGGAAAAGACCTCTGTGATCACTGAGGCCAACCAACAACCCAACCCTGCCAAGCCCACCACTTTTTCCTTTCCCTTGAAATTCACTGGCCAGAACTTCTGTTCGCAGGGTGTTGAACGGACCTCTTCAAATACGTGCGTGATGTTTGTGTTTGCACAGCCAGCAGAGTGGGGCTTTCCCTTCCAGCTTTGTCACTGATTGTCTAGTGCCAGAAATGCCAAACTCCAGTCCCCTGGGAATTTGTCAGTGCAGACCTGCTCGACCCTAGCAAGGACTGTGGCTTTTCCCTGCTGGAGGAGTGGTGGGGGTTACTTAGAGCAGCCCTGAGAGAGCTCCAACATACACAGCAGCTGGTTCAAGCCAACCTTGAGGGAGCTGGTGGAACACAGATTGGTTTTCCTGAGAGCAGGAGATCAGAGCTTATACCCCCTGTTTTGGTTAGGGCTCAATTTTAGCTCTGTTTCCATCCCATTTAACTTGTGAAGGATGTGCATGTTGCAGCCATAAAGTGAAATGCACCCAGAAATGTGTCTGCTAATAAGCCAAACTAACCAAGATGGTTTGGGATGAAACTGAAAGGCAACACATTTAACAAGGAGAGAAGGAAATACGTGTTAAAGTGGTTGTGTTGCCAGGATCAGATGCCAGTTATTGATGCAGCCAGCTAGAAAGTTGTTTTATGGGAAGGAATAACATTTATGACTACCCTAAGCAGGCCATAAAGATACAAAGGGAGTTACACACCAAGCTGCTGCTGATCTCTGTGGGTGCCTGGGGGAGAAAGCACAGCCCTGCATGAGGCATGGCAGCACTGGCTCTTTTTTTGCCTTTTTAATCTGGAAAAGTTGGCAGTCGGACACCAGGAGAACCAACAGGGTCTTTGGGGTGCTGTTGTTTCCTTCCACGGTAACAGATGTGCTGGGATTGGGGGTCCCTCCTTGGTTTGGCCGTGGTGCTCTCTCTGCACATCCTCTCATGGTGCTTTTGCTCTGTGGTTTTTGGGGACTAGAAAATCCTTACCTTTGAGCAGCAGTGATGGGATCATGGAGGCCCTTGGCCTTAACTCTAACTGAAAGCACATGTTTTACAAATTTGGTGGCTTTTTCCTGGGCCTTATAGGGGATTTTCTCCATAATTAATTATATGACATTTAGTATAATCCTTTGAGAGTGTGTGAGACAGATACTGAATGCAAAACACTGATAACACCAATGGCACTTTTTTTCCCCTGAGTGCCACAGTCTTGGAGGATCCAGCTTTTCTGTTATCGTGGAACTGATGGGTCATTTTTCACTCTGCTGGGAGGTCTGTCCTCTTCATTCTTCAGCAAAAAACATTCCCATAGGATTTACACATTCAGTCAACTCGGCACATGCCCAGGAGCTTTGTGCAGACTCCCCTCGATAACAGAGGGAAACGTGCACTTCTGGAGAGGGTTTCTTCCCACCTACCTTAAATGCCTTCTTTAAAGGAGATAAATCACTCCTCATAACTATTTGTCTTTCTCACTGGCTTAAACTGGGCCCCTATTTAGAGGAAGCTTCAGGTGAGCACAGGCCACTGGCCTGTGGTGGGTGGCGAAATGAATACTGACCTAAAGATCAACTTTTTAAATGTGTTTTAATGCTTTTTTTGTGCTTATCTCCTCAGAGCTCTGTCCAAGACCCCTTCGGCTCTGGCCCTGAACCAGACCCAGCACTGCAAGCAGCTGGAGGGCCTGGTGGTGTCCCAGGTGCAGCTGTGCCGCAGCAACCTGGAGCTGATGCAGACCATCATCCAGGCGGCACGGGAGGTCATCAAGACCTGCCGCAAAACCTTCTCGGACATGCGCTGGAACTGCTCCTCCATTGAGCTGGCTCCCAACTACCTGCTGGACCTAGAGAGAGGTAGGCAGCCCTGCGGAGGGGTGGCAGTGAGGAGAGTCAGTGTGTGTGTGCTGGGGAGGGGAAGGGTCTTGCTGCCAGGGGCACATGGAAGGGACTGCACAGACAACGTGTTCATTGTCAGGGTGCTGGTCCTGCCCAGGAGCTCTTGGGTCCAAGACACCACAGCTCTTACAAAGCAGACCACCACTCTGGTCTGCGCATCCCACTAGGAGTGATGGGAGGAGCACAGGGGCAAAAGGAGGCGGGAGAGTCCATGAAGGGGCTTCTCCAGATGCTCCAGAGCAGATCTCACCAGAGTGGACAAGCTGCATTAATCCAGGTGACTCCTTGCCCCGCTGGGATGTTGCCTTGTGTTGAAGAGTTGTGCTCTGAACTGGTGATGCCATGGGACATCTCAGCTGCAGTGAATTGGTGTGTTGGTTGCTCTGTGGGGCACAAGCTGTGTGGGTCTCTTTTTGGGAGACTGAGCTGGAGTTTTTGTCTCTTGCAGGCACAAGGGAGTCAGCTTTTGTGTATGCCCTTTCTGCTGCTGCCATCAGCCACACCATTGCCAGAGCCTGCACCACCGGGGACCTCCCTGGCTGTTCCTGTGGTCCCATCCCAGGTGAGACACCTGGACCTGGGTATCGATGGGGAGGATGTGCAGACAACCTCAACTATGGTCTTATCATGGGGTCCAAATTTTCAGATGCTCCCATGAAGATGAAAAAATCAGGATCACAAGCCAATAAACTGATGCATCTGCACAACAGTGAAGTAGGGAGACAGGTAACAAATCCACGAGAGTTATTGTACTTGTACAAACATCTGTAGTGGTCGGTGGCTCTGTGAGGTTCAGTGTCTCTGTCAGCCAGGGAGAGGAGCAGGTTTCTCTGATAATTCTCTATAAGTCACCCTGGGACTCAGGAGGGCCCAGATGCCATAATCAGCCCTGTATGACCGTGGGTGGGATGTCTCATTGTCTCCTGAGGGCCAGGGGTGGCTCTGGCTTGCTGACCCAGAAGGTGTGGGGGGGACTGGGTTTCCAGGGGCTTTATGTAAGCGTGGAGGATCAGCAACTGCAGCAGCTGCCTCCTGCTGTCCCTGCAGCCAGGAGGGATGGTTTCTTCTCCTTTTCAAGCTGCTTTGCTGGTGATCATTCTTGTGTCTGGCAGAAGCCGCGTTCAGCAGCTCACACCCAGCGGAGGGATAATGCTGTGCAGTGGGTGTGCTCTGAGATGCAAATCTTGAGAGCAGCCCTCCTGCAGCTGGACAAGTGCATGGGGGACTGCAAAACTGACCCCTGCACCCATCTCTGGGGCTGCTCCCACCACACACCCTGGTTGTTCCGGGGCTGCCTGTGCAGACAGAACTTGGAGCACGTTGAGCTCATCGGCAGCACACCGTGAGCTGCAGGCTGAGTGCCCCTTTGCAGAGCACAACCACCCTCAGCTTCCCTCCCCTGGGTCTTTTTGTTCTACTGCTCCCACTCTGTTTGGTTTGGGGTTTTGTTTTGTTTTGTTTGATTTTGTTTTACCTCTGTAATGTGTTGAGTTTTTGTTTCAATTGCAAAGGGCAGATTTTTGTCTGGGACACGGCGTTGCCATGGCTGGTGCATTCAGCCCTTCCTGGCAGCATCTGCCCTGTCCCACCAAAAGGAGACCAGGGCAAAACCAAAGTAAAAGGCTCTTTTGGGCCCATGACCAGCAGAAAGGCAGAGTGAGAGTGCCCTGAATTCATCACAGCGATGACATTTCTCTTGCCAAATCCCAAAGCTGCTGGAGGCTGAAATGGATGTTAATGACCTATTTGTGGAGTGCTTTGATTTTTCAGCTCCTAAGGAATTTAGGGGGTGGAAATGCAGCCCAATGGAGATATCTGATCAAAATTCAAAATACTGCTCTGTCTGCTGGCTTTGCTAAGGCGCCCTGGTGAAAGTAGTCCTGGGCTGATAGTGATCACCAGGGAGCTGTGGGATCTCATTCCCTTTGCAAAGTAGCTACTCCAGAGTGACTGTGCAGAAATGAGAGCAGCAGTCCTTCTCTATAGCAGTCCCTGCTGAGAAAGGGCCTTCTTTAGCAAGCTTGTGGGATGTGTGGAGGTAAGAGAAGGGCATTTCCTAACTCCTGCATTCCTTTTTGCAGGTCTTGAAAGCCTCTCTTGAAATGAAATGTAAGTGCCATGGAGTTTCTGGGTCATGCTCTATCAAGACCTGTTGGAAAGGCCTTCAAGAGCTGCGAGACATTGCACTGGACCTCAAAAACAAGTATTTATCTGCCACCAAGGTCGTTCATCGGCCCATGGGCACGCGCAAATACCTCGTGCCAAAGGATATTGATGTCAGGCCAGTTAAGGAGACAGAGCTGATTTACCTGCAGAGCTCGCCTGATTTCTGCATGAAGAACGAGAAAGTGGGGTCCCATGGCACCCAGGACAGGTGAGGGCTCTGCCGTGGGTGCTGCCTGCACCCTGATCCCAGAGAGGGAAGGGGGGAACACGTATGAGTAAGGGGTGAGTCACTGGGGAGTGGCACATGCCTGCGGGTAAAGAACATCTCTAACATATCTATCTACAGAGGTCCAATCCTTTTAATGGTGGCTGTGGCCAAGGCAGGGCTTCTGGCACTTTTTGCATCACCCAGGCAGGCACAAGATCCAGTTTGAAATTCCCCTCAGCTCACCTCCTCAGGAACCTGTAAGGATCCAACAACTGCTTTACACTGTGTTGGGTCTCAGTCATTTCTTGCAGTCACTGCTGTTCAGAGGAGCTGTTACTCTAAGGCTCCTCTGAGTAGGTAAATATTAACCCAATTAAGACCAGGGCTCCAATACAGCCTTAAAATTAGCCATAAAAACTACAAAGATGATTTTTTACTTTTTTTTTTTTCTTCTACTGCAGTTCCAAAATCCAGGTGTGTTTTGTACTGCTTGTGACTTGCAGAGAAATTTCTTTCTCTCATTAATATTAGAGATTTAGGGGCATCGTGGCCAAGCCCCGCCTCCCCTGGGCAGGGTGCTGTCCCCTTCCACAGGCAGCAGGCATGCCTATCTCTTCCCACTCTGCTGAATTTCATCCAAGACAAACTAATTGGGCATTTCAGCAGCCTGAGCATCTCTAGGTGGGCAGAGCCACCTGATCTCTCTAGAGCAGACCCATCAACAGCCAAACAATTGTGTGTTTCCAGAGTTTTCCTGTTTTTTGTTAGGTGGCTGCAGTGGCTGAATTTCAACCTGTCTCCTTAGTTGCTCTCTTGATGGTTTGCTTTTCTTTAGATAGTTCTCATAATTCTTCTTTGCTCTGTGCTGGGAACACCAGTCTCTAGGGTTCATCTCCAGTCCAGCAGTGGAACAGTCATTACCAAGTGAAGATGTTTAGGAGTCACTGAGGGTTGCAGGGGATAATGGTTTCTGAGGGAAAATGTCATCTGAGTGGAATTGGTGTTTTTGTGGATTCGTATGGATTTTGACTTATTTATGTCTTGAAAAAGATGTCTTTGTTGTGCCACTCTGTTTTGAAATGAAAAAAACCGAACCGGTGGAGGTTATTTGGAAGTGAGTTTTACAGGAATTGCATGAAATGAACAGGTTGTGTCAAAACCAAACTGAATTCACTGCAGATTTGCCAAGCAAAACATTTTCCACGAGCTGAAATCCTTTCATGGCGGGGGGGAGGTGTGACTTCTTCTTCTTCTTCATCTAATCTCATTTTACGGCAGATTTCAACTTTTTATCCCAGCAAGGGATGAAAAATATGTCCAGGCCTTGAATGATTATTTTTTTCCCTCTTCTGGGGACAGGGAAATGTGTATTGCAGGCGTCCCTTTATCCGAGCCGGGGTGACAGCAGCGATTGTGGGCCTGCCAGCCGCGGCCCCGGGGAGGGAGGATTTAGAGACCGAGATACTCGGGCAGGAGGGGATGACTTTCAAAAGGAGCCTGTCAAGGAATACTCCTCCTCCTCGGATGTGCAGGATGAGAGGGTTGTGGGAGGGGAGGAGGGTGAGACAGGCCCGTGCTGAGCCACAGGCGTCTCTCAGGGCCAGTTTTAAGGTCATGGTGTAGCTGGGCTTGTTTTCCTCACGGTCCGTCTGCAGGCTCTCCAGAAGGTGCTTGGGGCCTCCAAGTTGGCACGTGCAACACAAGCCACAGCAGCCCCTTTGCTGCATTAAATTAGCAGAGGAAATAGGTGTAAAATGCACACTTAGTGTGTGAAGATTGGCCCATTCTTCCTGGGTGGAACAGGGATAGGGAGGGGATCTTCCCTAACCTCCTCCTCCCATGGATGCCTTTCTCCCTTTGCAGTTTTCCTCTCATGAAGAGGACATCTAAACTGCATTTTGAATGTGGTGGCTCTGTTCCAGCCTGCTGCAGGGTTGCAGATAGTTCCTAGTGACAGGGGTGAGAGAGAAGGAGCACGAAAAGGGTGCTGTTACAGAGGGCTCAGCAAGATGTGGGTCCTGCTTGCTGCACAGAGGAAGTAGCTTAAACAGGTGTTTAGTATATAAGTCAGGTTCTGGAGGCATCTGAACGTTTTATCCCTGTGCACATTCAGATTTTCTGGAGGGACATCCCTCTGTTTCTCACTAGGCTCTTTTTAAGGTCTTTTATGGCAAATGCAGACAAAAAGGATTTTTTTTTTTTTTTTTTGTAGTGGTCCCTCAGTTCATCTTCTCTCTTCTCCACCACCTGCCCAATTTGGTTTTGGCCTTGTTCTGGGTGCAGAGGTCAGTCCATGGGGTGTTACTGTGTATTCCCCTATCCCCAAAGTTCAGGAGACTTCAGGCTGGGCATCTTCAGCATCTTTCCAGCCCTGCTTTCTGCCTCCAAAGGGATTCAGATGGAGAAGGCCCCATTAACAACCCCTTCTCCTGTTCCTGGATTAAAATATTTGTATTGCTGCATTTTTGTTACAAAAATTGATCAGTTTTGTCTCCATATCTCCCCTCTCTCTCCCCATGTGAGGTGCTTGCTCAGAGCACACTGGGAGCAGGTCAGAGGCTGGTGGTTCATTTGAACACCTTGGGCATGTTGGTTTTCAGTGTGTGCTGCAGGGAACAATCCTGCTCCAGCAGGTGGGAGGAAGGGATAATCTCATGGGTGATCTCTCTGATGTGAGGGATCACATTATGCAGACTTACTGTGTGCTTTTCAAGGCAGGAAAGGGAATTGAATTACCTTGTAGTGGAGCTGCCTGAAAACCCACTTGGAAAAGGTGCACACAGTTACTCAAAAGCCTTTCAGAGCTCTTTGCTGAAAGGATTTCAAAGCTTTCTTCAGAACAAGCCTGAAATGTTTTGTAGGACACCTTGGACTTTCTTAGCTGGTTGAAATTAGAAATGGTTTGGAGACCTGCACGCCTGCAAGTGCTTGGGGTGTATCCAGGCTTCAAAGGCAGGGAACTGAACCCAAACCTGAGATTTGAAACCCCTTTGAAGCACTCAGGGTCTGATTAAGGAGCTGAGTTATGCAACCAGTGTCCAAGTCTCCTGCAGACGAGATTTGCTGCTGCCACACTGACTGCAGCCAAACTCTGTGTGCTTATACCCCACCATCAAACTTCCGTAGCCCATTAAAAATGGTCTGGAGGAAAACCTAGAGAAGCTGATCTGTGGAGCTGCAAGTGGATGGTATAGCTTTCAATATAGCAGATCAGCCACTGGGAAAAAAAATGTAAATGTTCCCCTTTCAGAGCTTTCTTGGACAAAAGCACTTTTTCATCTTCAGTTTCTCCTACCTGAAAAATTAATTATCAGCTTTGAGAGTAAATGAAAAATTATAGCAGACTACAAAACTGAGACCTCTTCTGTGAGAAAAGAAGCAAAACTATGTTAATATTTTTATCAGTAGAGTGCAGTGTATCATGTTTCAAAGGCTGCTTAAGGTTCCTTAGTGAATCCAAGGAACGGGAAATTCTGCCATGCATGCAGAAGCACCCAGTCCCTGAAGCCTTGTGGAGATAACAGAGCTGGTTCTCACTGAGCCTTCCCAGAGCAGGCCTGGAGTCAGGCTGAGGACAAGAAGGAGGAAGGAGCTCTTGCTCTGCAGAAATTAGACTGCAGTGATGTGCTGCAGCTTGGCACAGGTTTCCCAGAGAATCGCAGGAACACAGAGTCAGTTAAGTTGGAAAGGACCTGTGAAGTCCTCGAGTCCAACCTGTGACCCCACATCAGCTTGCAGCTGGTGGCCTTTTCAGAAGCTGGGCCAGCTCTGCTTTTTTTGCATTTTCTCAGCTAATGCCTGGGGAAGATTGAATCCTTTCTGCTTTGAGAGACCTGGATTTCACCATAAAATGTCCCTGAACAGAATCGTGAATAATAAATTTACTGATGGAGAGAATAATTTCACACAGGAAAAATGGATAATGAATCCAGCTCTCCTGAATGCATTTAGTCCCTCTACATCAAAATGGTGTTGGAGTTAGGGAAAATTGGATCTGGGAACGATTTTCCATGGACCCTGATCTTTTCAGGAGCAAGGCTGAACTGAGATCAGCTAGGCTGTTACTGAAGATGTTTCTCTGCTCTTAAAAGCATTTTCCCCAAACAACCTGTTCCAGGGTTTTACTGTCCTCAGTGTTACATTTTCCTTAATCTAAATTCAAACTAAACATAATCAAAAATCAAAGTTAATAATTTCTTGTCCTCTCTTCTCTCTCCTTGTTGCAATAATCTTTTATAGATGGGAAGACACCTCTTCTTACACACCTCTCTGAATCAGTTCCTACATAATTTTCTAGTTTTCTAGTTTCTGAACTGCTCCTCTGGTTCTCCTGGGAACATTCCCGCATTTATCTGGATCTTTCTCAAAGTGTGGTGCTTACTTTGCATTTTAATCCACTCTCGCAGAACGTCCTCAGCTCTTTCTGCCCCAGGGTTATCCCACATTTTTAAGCTCACTCTCTCCTCCTCATTAATGAAAATCCAGGCTGGTTCCAGGCTGTCCCTGGACATCTCCTCGCTGACATGAGCTATTGATAACTCTCTCTCTCGTGCAGTTGTTCAGTGTCAGTCTCAGTCATTCCTTGGGGATGAGAAAGCAATTTAAAAGTAGTTAAGATTCTGCCCTCAAAATCTTCCATGAGGCTGTGGACTTTGATGTATTTTTAGGAATGTCCATCGTGTTGCATACCTCCTGAGGGACTCAAATTATTTTTCTCCTTCTTTCTTTTATATACCATGCATTAGTTGACATTGCTGGAGCAAGGGACACCAAAGAAATAAATAGGAATTTGATTTAAAAGGAAAAAAAATTCCATCACTTCTTTACACTGCAGTACTGTCTTCTGGGGCTTGTAGCTGCTGGAGTGTGTGGAGGCAGATGGTTTCCCTGAGGTCAGAAAGGGCTGAGGGAAGCACACAGCCAGGATGCCCACAGGAGGATACTGAAATATCAGGGAAGGAACATCCCTTCCATCATCCCTAATGCAGCAGCCCAGCTGCTGGTGGTGTGTGAGAAACAAGACTAGAGAAAGGGGGTCAGGTTTGTGTTCTCCTCCCTTAACAGCATCTCCCTCCCCCACTGGGAGGTGCCCTGGGCCAGGCAGGCAGTCCCTGTGCCCCAGAGTGACTTTTCTTATGTCCCCATAAGCAGCTTTCCCTTCTCAATGGGACTGATGGAGTGAGGTTCCAGTGCACCTCTGGCCTGGCCCAGTCATACCTGTCATAACTGTGGGTGACACAGCACAGATTGGCCTCAGTTTGGATCTCAGGTACCAGCTGCACAACCGAAAAAAACCCTGCCCTTCTGTCTGCTCATGGGACAGAGTGAATTGGGGTCCACAGTGACACTGTGGGACATGGCCAAGTTAACAGCTGGACTTCAGGGATCTCAGAGGTCTTTTCCAACCTGAGTAATTCTATGATTCTGTGATCTCCCCACAGCTTTTAAAATCAAACTCCCCAGTCTCCGTGTGGGGGAAGACCCTCAGAAATGCTGGGATGTCCTTCCCCGTCTCTGCCTGGGAGCCTTTCCCGTGATGGGACCGTAGGGTTCCCACAGCGTTCCTGCAAATGAGGGCTGCAAAGGGGGGATTTTGGACACCACATTCAGTGGGATCTGTCCAGTCAGCAGGGCTGACCTCGCTCCTTCTTACATAAAGACAGGAAAAGCACTGTGACAATGTGCAAGGCTGTTCCTGAGCCAGGCCCTTGGCTGGGATTGCGGCTGGAGCATCGTTTTCCAGCAGCGTTCCAAGTGCTTGCAGAGGTTACGGTGTTGTGTTAAGATGCAATCTCCTCCTTCGTGTTTTCTCTCTGAGGCTCAGGAGGAGGGCATTTCTCGGGGTTGCTGGAATCGTGCTGGACCAGGCCCAAAACAAATGAGATTGAACTTAACCCACCAGCGGGAGCCGGGTGGGATCCAGCCCTGGGCTCGGGGAGCAGCTGCTCAGGGCAGCTTCTGTGGGCAAACTCTGCTCCTTGGGCTCCTTTGTCTTCCCCAGCTCGCTTTTTGTTGAAACATCTCTGTTTTATTTTGTTTAAGGAAAAAAATGAGTGTAATTCATCCAGGCCTACACTTTAAAACAGAAAACAAAATCTCTGCTTAGTGCCATTGTCAGAAAAGCTTTTTAGAGGCCCATTTAGGTTCAGGATGGGGTCAAAGGCTTTGTTTTGGCTGTTCAACTCATCCATCCACAATGCCCCCGTTTCCTTATACCAAACTGAGGGAAGCTTGAGGATTTTTTAAAAAGATTTTGGTTTTTTCCTTTCTTTGATCCAGACTGGGAGGCATGGGGATGGCTGTGGAAAGGTGTTAGCTCCTACTGGAGCCACTTTTTTTTTTTTTTGGCAAACCACAGGAGTGGATGGGGGAAAAGGGAGAATCCCAGTACAGCAGGCAGAGGAGTTTTAGTCTGTTTGGATGGGGTAAATGTCACTGTTGGGTGCTTGGTGTGTTTGGGGAGTGAACAGCCTCAGTGGGGAGCTGGAGTCAGAGTGGGCTCCTGTTCCTTGGCTTGGCCATTTCGGTGAGGTCTCAGCATGAGGTGGTGTGGATGCACCACACATCCCTCACCAGGCTGCAGCTCCCCATCCTCTCGGGGTGAACCTCAACCTTTCCATCCCCCAGTAAAGCTCAGGAAGGTTGTCAAACACCCTCCCCTCTTCTAATGTCAACATGCCTGTATTTGAACCTTTGCTCTGAATATTTAATGCATTTACTAATACATTTATGAGGAGTCATGTGGAGGTTTCCTCGTGGAGGGGCCCTGGCTCTCAGGGGCAGTAACAGGGCCTTTGGTTCAGCTTGGCAAACATGCTCAGAGTGCTGCAGACTCGGCTCTGCTGGAGGCTTTCAAAGGTTTGTAAATATTGACACACACTCCCAAATGAGGGGGATTGAGGGGGGCTTTAAACACTGAACCTGGAGAGGAATGTGAGGCAGAATAACAAACAGGAGGCAGAAGAAAATGAAGGAAGAACAAGAGCAAAATCTCAACACTTCATTAATCCTGTAACTTCTCCTCAAGCATTACCTCATGAGGAATTCCTATAAATCTCATGGATTTGTTTTCATCCATTAATGGTGTGCTCAGCTCATGCTCCTCTGTCCTTTCCCTGCCCCAAAGCAGCCTTAGAGTGTTTCTGTCCAAAATAGCAGTGCAGAACAAGATTTAGGAGAGATGTCAGCAATTCCCCCACTCCACAAACCACCTTTCCTACGGCAGTTTCAAGCCTCCATCAAGTTCACAGCCCCTTGGTGCTGGGTACATAGTGAGATTTGTTACCCTGAAGTGCAAGCATCTACCAAACATGGACATTTCCCCCCTGGGTTATCTTTACAGTCCATGGGGAAACAGCATCTCTAGGACATGGTTGGTCTCATCCTGGTGTGCTTTTATGTCCAGTGACCCAACTTGGAGTATCTTAGCAGAATGAGATAGATAGTTTTTGAGCCCAGCTGTGAAATGGTGATCAGTGAAAGGTGTTCCTCAGTTCAGGGCTTGCTTCTGAAAAGCTCGAGCCAGTCACTTTCAAGCAGACAAAAATGAGGGAACCCAACATAAGGGCCGATTTATCCCGCTGGGGTCTGGCTTTAATTAAACACAGAAGCAAAACAAGCAGTGGAAGTCCGCGTGATATTTGGTGACTTGTCATCCTGCCCTGTGTTCCTGCCACGCTTCCTGCTCCTGGGTCAGGACCTGGGGTGTCGTGGGGCTGCTCATGCCGTGCTGGGAGACAATCAAGGGGAAAAAAGTGTGGCTCTTCTAGTGTTGGTTGTGATTGCCCTGATAGGATCAGTGCTGGAGAGTGGCTGTAACAGCCTGCTCGGGATCTTTCCCAGCCTGGGATGCTTGGCCTGGAGCCTGGGCAAACACTGTGTGGCTGCAGGGTTCCTCCTCCGTCCTGTACAGGTGAGGGAGGGCTGGACAAACACCGGGGTTTGTTCTCTGGGGTGTCATCTTCTTCCAGCTCCTTTCAGACAGTTTTGGAGCCTGCCTGGGATACAGATTGCTTGGGAAGAGGAGTTCTTGTTGGGGAGGTATCCCAAAACCTTCGCTTGTCTGCCCGTATGGGAGGCAGGTTCAGGAGCCTGAAGTGGGAGTCAGAGCAGCAGTTCAGTGTGATTTTGGGTGTCAGAGCTGGTGATGTGGGTGCAGCCTGGGGGTCACCCTGCTACCCTGGCAGGTGTGGGGGGGTGCTTGGCTGGGTGCTCCCCACTGCCATGTGCTTTGTGCAGCTGAGGTGGACCTGTGCCTCAGCCAGCCCTGCAGAGCTGTGAAGCCCAGCAGCACCCCAGGGCAGTGCTTTGGGAATCCTGCAGGAACTTCACTCGCTCACAGCATCTTCTTTCTTCCAGACAATGCAACAAGACTTCCAACGGGAGTGACAGCTGCGACCTGATGTGCTGTGGCAGAGGGTACAACCCCTACATGGACAAAGTGGTGGAGAGGTGCCACTGCAAGTACCACTGGTGCTGCTACGTGACCTGCAAGAAGTGCGAGAGGACTGTCGAGAGATACGTGTGCAAATGAACACCCTCCCCTGCCCCCCAGAGCTGAGACAGCAGCACCAGCACTACCCAGAGAACAGAAAACATTGCCTTGGCCAGAGGTCATTTATCTTGCAAAGACACAGACTTGAGGGAAGCTGGCAGGAGGAAAAGCAAACAATCCCACCAGTAGGAATAAGACCCTTAAAAAAACCCCAAAAACCAAAAAAGCAACAAACCCACAAATGTTTTCCCCCATCAACAAAATGCTCTCTGAGAAGACAAAGCCTCATTTGGGATGGTACTTCCTTCACCAATATTTCCTATGGTTGCCAGTGATGTCCAGCCATTGAGTGCCTCAGTATTCTGAGAAACTAAAGTAGGAACTTTCCCCAGGGGAAGAAAAGCAACTCCTGTTTGACAATAACTACGTCTCTCACCTGCCTGTGCCTTCCAGCACAGGTACTGAGTCTCCATTGGGACCATCCCGGAAGGGAAAACACTACAACTTTTCAGCAATAACTTTGTTGCCAGAGACTTAATTTTTAGCAGGGAATCATCCACTGTGAATGATAAAGGTGGAAAGATTTCAGGTCAATCTCATTTTAACCTTCTTTTTACACAGGTCTGCGACTTTGAAGTTGCTGCTGCAGGAAAAGCTGTCCTTGATTAATCCAGGCTGGATGGGTGTTCAAATTCAGCCATGAAATATATGTCCCGTGGGACTGGGAGCCCATGGAGGCAGGGGGTGTAGGGCAGCCTCAGAAGGACTTTTTGGGGCCCACGAGACAGTAGTGGGGCTGTTAGGATACAATAACAAAAGTCAAGTCAGAATCCAGCAGGAAAGGAAGACAAAAAGCAAGCTTCTGCTCTCTGTTTGCCCTTTGGGTGTGATACCCTCAGTCACTGACATCGTCCCACCCTGGACCATCGAGTCCTCAGGAAAATGTGCCACTGGCTCTTTTCCCTCAGCAAAACTGTCGGTCCAACCCCGAGAACCCGTGGAGAGCAGAGCAGTCCTGGCTGCAGGGAGTGCAGCCCTGGAGGGCAGCAGCCATTCCCAGCAGAAGGGAGTGGGAATGTGTCAGTTCTTCCCGTGGCCCTGCCCTGGCACAGCAGAGAACCACTACCTGTGGCTGTAAATATTTCCTTTTGTACGCCAATATACAGAAATATTTATATCTCGTGCTTTCCTCTACTCTACTCCCTACATAAACATATCTGTATATTATAAACAAGCATTACCCATAGTATGAAATAAACGCTGAAGTTACTGGTGCAGCAGCAGAATGTTAGATGATTATGTTTCCTGCTTGGAAAGCAGCTCTGATTTTTCTCCCAGGGATGGGAGAAGAGCAAGGCTGGAGGCACTTGCTGGCGTGGGATAGAGAAGTTCCTTTTTTCCCTGCCTCCCTTGCCTCTTCGTTCAGAGCAGAATTAGCCAAGATACAATCAAGACAATGAAACAGAGCATGGGGAGAAGGGAAGAGTCACCGTTGTTGTTTTGCTATTTTATCAGTGATCCCTCTCATTGGCAACATTTCCCAGTGCCCCCGAGGAGCTTAATAACAAACAGAACTAATTCCTCTCCTGGGGGCTTGCTCCTGGCTCCTGCATATGGGCAGGGGTTGCTGAGCAGGGGAGGTTCTGGCTTAGGTTTGGTTCCCTTCTTTACTCTGTTTTTTCTTTGCAGTGGGCATCCAGCTCTGTGTCCCACTGAGGAAAGATGACCTTGGGGAAGGATGCTGCTCCAGGAGCCTGTGATGTCCTTCACATCATTCCCCATGCGAAATGCTGTAAGCAGCCAAAAAATCCCTCCTGCAAGAATGCAGGGGGACACTGGCACTTTCCTAGGGGGAAATGTGGCAGTAACACCACAACCTTTCTCCAAACCCTCTTTTTTTTCCCTCTTCAGCCGTTCCCTAGGGGCCAACTGCCTCTGACATGTCTGTGGAGCAGCCCTGTGGAGCTGGAGGAGAAAAGCAGCAAGGGCTGTCAGGGCAAAATTAAAGAGATTCTGTTCTCCTCAGCTCCTTTGCTTTGCTGTGATGGGTTTGGTCTCCTGGCCCCCTTCCCTCCCCCAGCCATGAGCAGGCAAAGAGGGGCCTTGGGGGTTTGTCAGTGGTTTGTGTTATTGTCACCCCATAAAAGCTGGTGGACTAAACGTCTCTGCAGTGCAGTGTGATGAGTGCTGGGTGTCTCTGGGCTGACATGCAGACAGGATGGTGGCACAAATCCCACTGCTCTCCACCACCAGGATCTGGCTTCCTTTGATTTGTAAAGAAATGGTCTACTCTTGTTCTTTTGAGGAATTTTGTTTTTGTTTCCAGTTTGTGATGAAGCCAACAAGGCAGAGATGTTCTGACCAAAGAAAAATTTGAGCATTTGAGCTATTCTGTAATGACTCTTTTTCTTGCTCCCTTGCTGATGTCCTGAGTCTTTCTGCTTGGTGAAAAAATAATAAAAAGGAAGAAATGCTCTGTAGGTACATTTTTTCAGCTGCATTTCACTCCTCCCATGTCAGACCTGTGATCCTCAAGTGGCTTTCTCATGTCAGAAGAAATCATCACTTGGCAGAGCATTAGAGGGTGTGATGTGCAGGTCCAGCAGGTGGGACAGGGACCTGCAGCAGAATCTCAGCCTTGGGGTACCTCATGCTTTATGCCTGTTCCTAGAGATGCTGACCTGAGGTGGCTGAAGTGTTTGGAGGTTCCAAATCTCTGCTGTCTTTAGAGAATACATCCTGGGCTTCATCTGAATTTTGCTGTGTGGCCCCAGCCTGTGGCTTAGGCTGTTGCACCACTTTTGCCATAACTTCTGAGTTCCAGGCCCCTTTTCCTTTGTGGAGCAGCTGCACACTGCATTTCCTTTGAATACCAACCAGGAATAAAGAGTGTAACACAGGACCATGCTGGTGGAAGGACTCATGGTGCATCTTCTTCAGATCTGTCCCTGGTGCTTCATTCCTGGCCCCAGCAGCAGAGCACAGAGAGCTCAGGAGAGAGAAGTGTCCTCGCTCTCACCTGCAATTCCTGGTGCAAAATGTACCTGCTTGACTGCCAGGTTATTTCCACAGTCAGTGGAAGGTGTCCCTGCCCATGGAAGGGGACAGTTCCATCGGAACTGGATGATCTTCAAGGTCCCTTCCAACCCAAACCATTCCATGTTTCTGTAATTTTCTGTGCTTATGTGGTCTCAAAGCTGTTTGGGAGATCATTTGTCATGAACCAGTTTTGCAAGGAAAATATATCCCTCCTTCCTTCCCCCAGGCCCTCAGCAACCAGGCTTTGCTCTGAAGGAATGGAGAACTTTCAGTCAGTGAATAAAATGGTTTTAATTCCTGGAAATGTCAGGTCCCTCTCTTACAACATTCCCTACCACATCCCAGCCACTGGTATAATTTGGTCCAGCTCCATGTTGATTTACACTGCTGATTTACACTGGCTGGGAAAATACAGCTGATTTCTTCCCATAAATCCTATAATTTCAAAATCTTACGCTGTTACCCCAGAGAGAAATGGGCAAACTATATGGAAGAATATTATGCTGGTGGCTTTGTATCATTTATTGATTTGAAAAAATATCTATGATTTAATAAAAGTTTGGACTTAATGCTATTTCCAAACCTGAGGGTTTTGCACCTTGTGTACATCCAGCTGGCTTTGTGTTTTTCTGATGAATTCCCCCCCATTCTCATCCCCTTCCAGTTTTATATCATTTAGGTTTCTCCCTCAGGTAGGCAAATGACAGTCATTATAAAATCTCCCATTTGATTGATTGTTTTAGTCCACAAAAACAGAAGGTCCTAATCATGCTAAAGCAGACAGTCCACGGTGCTTCATATGCAGCTAGAAAAGCCCTTGATGAGGGGAAGGGGAATGGGGAAAGGAGGCAAAAATCTGAATACAATTAACAGTGTCTTTGGCAGGAAAGTCATAAAAGAGTCCCTGAGGAATTATCCCTTTTCCTGCTGGAAAGAGATCCCTGTAGCATGTTCCAGGTGAACCAGACCTGTGCTGCCCAGCACCAGGCACCTGCCTGGGGAAGATGCTGGGAGGAGGCTCTGGAAGTACTTGATGTTGGGAATTCAGTGGAAAATTCAGCCCTGGGATCCTTTAGTGTTCCACTCCACCCCATGAGGAAGGATTTGCCTTCCCTGCATCAGGCAGAGGGTTGTGAGACTCCATTTCTTTGCTCCCCAGAGCGTCACAGGCAGGACTTTCTCCTCTGCACAGGGAGACAGAGCCGAGAACAAGGTTTGGGAGAGGCAGAGAAAGAACAGGAAACTTCGAATCCACCTGAGATTAATGACTTTAACATGTACAACATGTTGTGTTGTGTTTTGTTTTCCTCTCGGGACCAGTTTCATCAGTCAGAGTTTGATTAAATATCTCAGCAGAGCTATGGTTTGTTCATCTAGAGCACAGATTACCCTCTGTTCATGGAAGCAGCATTAGCTGTGTTTTGAATTGTAAGAGCTACAATAATAATAAAATTAATAACAATAGTATACATTGTGGATTGTTTTTATTTGTTCTTCTGTTCAGACCATGCGGACAGTGTTTTGTCTGTATTGTAAAGATGGTGGGACTATAAAAATAAATCCAGGTAAAGTTGGGTGCTCACGACCCTGTATTTGTCTGAAACTCAAGGGAGTGTGACAGCTCAATTCCAAAACCCTCGAGGATTGGCTGCTATCTCAAAATTCATGCTGAATTTCGTAGGAAAGATTTTAAACCCATCATTCTAAGGGGTTTCTGTGCTTTCCCATAATTTCTCACTCTAAATTTCAAGCTATTTAGGATTACCCTGATCTGGGTCATCGTGAAAGTCATTAATAGCAGCAACTGTGTCATCAAAGGAACCCAGCCACTGGGCATTTCCCAAATCACGGAATCAGAGAATGGTTTCAGTTCCAAGGGACCTTAAACATCATCTCATTCCATCCCCTGCCATGGGCAGGGACACCTTCCGCATATCCCAGGTTGCTCCAACCTGGCCTTGGACACTCCCAGGGATGGGGCAGCCACAGCTTCTCTGGGCAACCTGTGCCAGTGCCAATCCTGGTGTGTGAGGCTGATCATGCACAGGAGGATCCAGATCTTCCTCTGCTGCTGCAGCCTCTGAGAACAGCCCCCTCCCTGCAGCCCCTCTCCACTCCCTGCCTGCTGGAGATGCAATTAATTTTACAAAGTGCTGTACATGTTGACCGGGGCCAGGCTCGGGCAGGAAAACTGTTTTCTTTCCTAAACTCCTGCTCTGTCCAGGGCTGCTCCTCATCTGGCTGGGGCAGATTAACACCCCTCAGTGCTCCCCTCTGCAGGTGCTCCCTCCCTGCTGCAGGCAGCGTGCAGGCAGCGTGCAGGCGGGGGCAGGCTGGGGTGTCTGTGCACTCAGGGGAAGGGGGAGAGCATGGCCAGCAGCTCCCTGTGTGCCCACACTGGAGAAGCAGCTCTGGGTGTGACATAAGAGCGTCCAGGTGACAGCTGCAAAGCATGGCCTGATTTAAGGTGGTTGCAGCTCCCACACAGAACTTTTCCTCCACTGGACAGAGGGCTCTTCTCAGCAGTGAAGCATCTGGTGCCACTGGAAGCTCTGCACGGGACCCAGAGGGACCTTGTCCCCACTGGGGCCGGAAGAGGAACATTCATAGAATCATAGAATTAACTGGGTTGGAAGAGACCTCCGAGATCATCAAGTCCAACCCTTGATCCAACCCCACTGTGATTACTAGATCATGGCACTCAGTGCCACATCCAGCCTTGTCTTAAAAACCTCAGGGACAATGAATCTGCCACCTCTCTGGGCAGGCCATTTCAATGACTGATCACTCTCTCTGTAAAGAACTTCCTTCTAATATCCAACCTAAACCTCCCCTGACAGAGCTTAAGCCCATGTCCTCTTGTCCTGCTGCTGATTGCCTGGGAGAAGAGACCGACCCCCACCTGGCTACAACCTCCTCTCAGGTAGTTGAAGAGAGTGATGAGGTCTCCCCTGAGCCTTCTCTTCTCCAGACTAAACCACCCCAGCTCCCTCAGCCTCTCCTCATAGGACTTGTGCCCAAGTCCCTTCTCCAGCCTCTTTGCTCTTCTCTGGACCTGCTCCAGCACCTCAATGTCTTTCCTGAACTGAGGGGCCCAGAGCTGAACACAATATTCAAGGTGTGGCCTCACCAGTGCTGAGTACAGGGGAAGGATCACTGCCCTGCTCCTGCTGGCCACACTGTTCTTGATGCAGGCCAGGATGCCACTGGCCTTCTTGGCCACCTGGGCACACTGCTTCAGGAGACACCATTTCAGTCGAATTGCTCCCCTGCATCTGGTGAGGCAAGGACTCCAGGACACTTCCTTCCCCCCACAGCACTGCTCCCAAGGGCTCTTCCAGGTCCACCATGGACCAGCAAATTGGGTGACACTCAAAAATGAGCTCTGCAAAGCTATTGGGCTCATCCTGCCTCCCAATGCCCCTGACACACCTGTGCTCGGGCTGGCCTCCAGATCTGGTCCTTACAGCCCCAAATCACCAAGGGGGGCTTCTGAGTTAAACAGGGCCTTAGTGTAGAGCCCCAGGTCGTTGAATGAGCTCCCCCAGCAGGAATTCACCTCCTCTCACTCTGGACAGGCTGTGGAGCCAGCTGTGCTCAGCAATCTGCACTGTCAGTAAAGGCATTTCCTGAGTGTACAGACCTGCTGTGCCTCCAGAGGGGGGTTCAGGATAAGAGGGATTCTCTCCATTGGGAGTTAGTGGGACCCTTTTCATGCAGACACCCACTGAGCTGATGGAGGTTTCTCCTTAGCCTGATGCTTGTCATAGAAGTCCTTCTGTTTTGATGTTTGGCTTTGCTATAAACCAAGCTAATTACTTACTAATTATAGTTGGACTGTTGGCATTAAAGAATGGGCCTAAATAACTCCTATGCCCCAAATGATTACATCTGTTATGTTACATAAATTGCTTAAAGACACTTCCAAATAAAACAAGGAAACTCAATGCATGAAATCAAGCATTGTAAACATGTCAGTGTAGCTTGTTAGATTCACTTTTTCCTCTTCTCTCCATTAGAGGGAACATTTTCATCTTGAGATTTGCACAGAATTCCAAGGAAACTAAAAAAAATTCCTTTTCATGGAGTTTATAAAGAAAATCAAACCATTCAAGTGCACTGTCCACTTGCACTTGCAATCAAATGTCTGACTCAAGGCCCCTGAACTTGACTTATATTGATAATTGCTCTGGTACAAAGCAACTCTTTTTTCCCAACCATTAAGGAGAATATTTCAGATAATAAAGAGTAAACAAAGGAACTTCAAAGAACCAAATGAATGCCATGCAGTGACTGTGCTTTACATGAACACTGAATTGCTGGCAGAGGATTTCTCTCTGCAGAATATTTTCCATTACTCTGTATCATCTGGTTAATAGCCTAAGTGCCCTGGCTTACCTTCAGGAGACTCAGATAAGCTGAGAGATCTTCCTGCATGAAATACACTGGCCATGCTTTCAGCATCCTGCTTTTTCTCCTCAGAATGATCTGGGCCAGTGTAACGAGATTGACCTTCTTCCTTGCTGCTGATAATCCTGCTGCACTTTGGAACATTCCTCTCAGTGCTGTGTGCCCTGGATGAAATACAGGAGAATAAAGCAGTCATGAAGAATGAGCTGATATGATCCAAAGCAAAAAAAGATCAGCTGTCGGGGGGAAGATACTACAAAGTGCCTTTTAAACACCTAAATTCAATAGTGAGAATTGAATCCCGTGGTGACTACCTTATTATTGTATCTTTTGTCCTGGTTGAATCCAGAACAAGTGTTTCTTCCCAGCTTTATAACTAGTATAGGTATATCAATAGGAGAGAAATAAAGAAATTTGGTCTGGGAATTCACCAAAATTTCTGTTAAATAAAACTCACCCTCTCTTTTAGCACAACCAAATGCAACTCTGCAGATTTTGAATCCCATCCATTTTTGACACCCTGCACCACATCCCACATTTTTTTCAGGTGCTCTCATGCAGAGAATCATCTGCTGCAGGTGCCAGTGCTGGAGACACCCCCACCTGAGCTCACCCAGCACTGTCCATGATGGATGGAGGGAATGAACTGCTTGAGTTCCCTCTGCCACTCTGCCTTTCAGCCTGGGCTGGAGGAGGAACATTTGATTTGTGTTTTAGCTGCTCTGAGACCTGGGCAGCCTCACTAATTCTGGGTTATAACTGACCCCACGACTGGCTCTGCTGGGTTTCATGCTAGGGACTGTTCTCCATTCCAGCTGAGGGTACATGATGGAGTTATGGTAGAAATCCAGTGGAGGTGGGTTTATATTTATCATCACCCTGTAACTATGACTGGCACAAAAGAGATGAAAGCAATGAAACCCAAAATAGAACATCTTCTTGCAGTTTTGTTTTGTTTTTTTTTTCTGAAGGCCCAAAGTTTTCAGTTTGGATTTGCCATGACAGGATAAAGTACATTTTCAGGCTCAGCTTCTTAATGGGCCACATCTGCTTAATGTAATTGTGCATCTGAACTATGAGTCTTGTCAGACACGAGCACAATCAGAGCTGCACTCAGCAGAACTCACTTTCCCTGGAATCAGATAAACTCAGCCCAATAAATTAGTTTTACTGCTCTCAGGATCACCCTGTTATCATTGCAAGTTATTTAGTCTGGGCTTCCCACACTTTCCCATTCTCTCACAATGAAAGGGACTGAACTCCCAAAATAAATAAATAATTTTCTCTTGTTTTTTATTTTCATCTTTCCTTATTTTCTTCCCTTCTCTTTTCTTTCTTCTGCTCTCTTTTGCTTTTTTCCCCCTCGCTTTCTCTCTCTTTCCATCAAAAGGAAATACAAAGTAATTCACATTTGCACTTTTTAAAAGTATATCTTTTTTGCTCAAAGAGAAGCTATTTAATTAGGCAATTGTGACCTGGCTCTCAGCTGGTGTAAATCAGCAGCAGTGATTTATACCAGCTGAACAGATGTATTCTGGTGTTTGGTAGCAGGTTTTAGAGGGCCTGCCTTGTAAAGTGCACTGGACTGTGTATTATATTAGCTAGAAGAACATTTTGTAAAAATACAGTTGTATTTTATGCCCTGTTTTGTTTTTTTTCCCCATATCCTTTATATTCCCCCACAGTTTGCATGATTAAAAGAGGGGAAAGATGGACTTGTCATTGCAGAACAGCCCAGAGCTGGGTGATAATGGTCTGAGCTCCCTCTTACATCACGGGCCAGCTGAGGTGCTGAATATCCCACACAAGGTACTGACAGCCCGCAAGCCCTGCTGGAGCCCACGGGGATCTACGGGATCTAAGGAGCCTCCAGAGGCATCTGGAACTGTGATGGATGCAGTAAGGAGGTGGGAAGAGGTGTCCAACCACCACGCTGGTGGATGGGAAGGACAGTGCAGTGGGAAGGAAAATAGGAAGCAGCACTTGGGGTATTTCATTTTCTCACGCAGCCTCTGGATCAGTCCCTGGAACTCAA